GAAGAAATAAAAAATATGAGAATCAAAGTGTCAATTGATGAAAGATGAGAGACCGGAACAGTTTTCCAATGAAGCACCAAAATTGCATTTTGGTCCAAAATCTCCGACACGAACTCTGTGTCTACTATACAGTGAAGGTGTCAGTACTTCCTTTGAAGTGTCGACACCCTATGCGATTTTCCGCGAGTTATAGCCTCTCTTTATTTTGGCGCAGGTTGCAGGTCCATATTCTAAACTCTTGCTGCGGGATTTATATTCTTTTGATGTTATTAAACCCATCTTATAATTCTCATAGACATTCCATGAAAATGGTTTGTTTTGATTTTGAACGATACTGAACCTTATGATAGTTTAGTCTAAAGCTATACCTCGTACATTATAATCACAGTGTACCATCGCCCTATGCTTTATATATTTCTAAAGCGTTTAAATTTCCTTGGCCAGACGTTGTCCTAGATCACTTATGATCATATTGAAAACTTAGAACCAGAAACCACATAGAAATATCAGAACATGAGAAGGTTTAACTTGAGGTTGTAGAATGAAATATTACTTCTTACACCAAACTTCATACAGATTATCCCACAACTAGACATAGAGAACCTTACAAATACATTGTTGTCAAAACAGCTTTACAGGCTGTGAACTTGGAACCGTACTTTGAAATGGTTTTCGTCAATCGATTTAATGAAGAAAAGGTGCCAGCTGCTCGGCTAAGCAACTTCAGGTTCTGCTCTGCCTTGTTCTCCACATTTCCAAATATTATTTGCAAAGATTTTGGAATATCTTTCAAGAATAAGTATTTTGGACAAAGCAGTTCAGAATGTAAAACATGGCCAGGTATAACAAACAATTCGATAAGTACTTAAACTGACTATTGTACTGAATATCAATCTGTTGTGGAGATAATTTTGAAGTTTCTAGAACTAGCTAATTAACCTCAAGGTCCCCAGCATCAGGCTTAATTATGAGTTCTTTAGCAAGCAGGTATCTACCTGGCCTGTCTTTATCATCATAAAATACCTTCCATAATCTAATATATGATCAGAAAAGGAAGAAAGATAAGCACGTGAAACAAGGGAAGAATTCAGATTGTCAACATTAAAAAGGAATGATTTTTCTACAGAACAGAAAAGTTAGGATAAGGGTTGTTGTTGCATTAGTTTAAGATGATGTTTGTAGACCAAACATGAAAAAGAAAAAGACAAAAAGATAAAAACAAAATTGCAAAATAGTTCATCTAATTCAAAAGGAATGAGATTTATACCTTAGAAAGAGCTGCCTTAATTTGCGAACATTAACCCACTACTCCAACAGCCTCGCTTATGAGACTTGAGTTCCACATGATGAGAGGCGTAGGCTAGCGATATGTGATGAAGGACTGTAAGGAAAGTAGTCCCCCCTAGCTTTGAGGTGTGAGTGAAGACTGAAGGGAACATAATGAAATTTTTTAATGTCAGTTAACCTTTATGGGAGATGTCATTGTGCTTCTTTGCTGGACTAAGCAATGTTGGGTTCCGCCCTGACTGTCTTGGTAGGGTAAATAATAGGTGTTACTTTCCAAATTTCTGCTGGTAATGCTGACAACTTTACTGCATCAATTAAGAAAAGAATCCAAAAGAAAAATTATTATAACAAAACAAGGAAATGGAAAGTAATGCATATGCTTCGAGTTTGTTTATAATACAACCAGAATATGATGAAATATAAGGTAAAATGAGAGTTTTGAGATACATTCAAAAGTTCTTATAATGAAGACTGAATTCTAAACACAAGATTGGTAAAAAATAATAATGTTTGTAATTGTCCACTCTAGTATTATGCGATCATTAATACATCCAATTACTCCCTCTGATTCATTCAGTTGTAACTGACCTTTTTTTATCCCAAAAGTTAGGGATATAAAAATGAATTAATAAAAGTTCATGCTTATCTCTAACTACATACTATTCTCTAAGTAGAAGTGTTTACTTAATTAAGACACATTATAATTATCTTGGTAATATAAAATACGAGTTTTTAATGAAACTCTAATTAATTATAAAATTTCTAACAAGTGCTCTTAAGAATACATTTAATATATATTGTAATCATTAAGTTACATGGAAAAAACAAAGTTTGACTTTAATTTTAATAATTAACTGATTAAATTAATATACTTGATATTAATACTAAAATTAATATTTACTTTTCTATACAACTTAATGAATAAAAAGTGTATTGATTACAATACTAACCTTGCTATAAAGACACATGTTAGGAAAATCCATCATAAAATGGTACAACGTAATGTTTACACAGCAAACTTAACGTCTATAAAAGCCGATGGAAATTTTACAGCCTAACGAAAATATCTTTAATTACTTCTGCAAATGAATTTGGATTTATTCTGATATATATAATTGAGCTTAAAGACTTAAAAATAATTAATGGATGAAGCTCAAGCTCCTCATTTTTAAACTGAT